AAAGGGACCCGGTTTTTTGCGGGGAACATTGGCCACGTTCCCCACAGGAACAAGTATTTCCAATGCCTGGTGTTGTGCAGCCTGATCTAGACTTACAGCTTGAATCTTACTTCTGAGTTTACAAGGCAGAGCTAGGACTCGAGTCTGATCCCAACCTGGCACTGGAACCACCTCCGGGGGCCTTCGATGTCGAGTCAGCTTGTCATTGAGATCCCGATGTGGAAGAGCAAATGGATCTGGCCTTGCAGGCAGCTCTTGAGCTGAATGCGTGTCCAGGAATGGAGCCAAAGTCTCAGGCAACTCCTGAGGCGGGGCCAACATCTGGGAAGAAGCAGAGGACCCCAGATAAGCAAAGCCCTTGGGGTCTGCCGAGGGTGGAAGTGCGTGGGGCGATTCAAGTGGGAGATCAGAGGAGCGGGAAGACCAGGGCCCGGTGGGTCCTGGGGGTTCAGAGGTCAGCGGGACCAGGTACCGGGCCCACTCCAGAAGCGGAGCTGCCTGGGCCAGCAGCCACAACGATTGCCACGTGAGAAGGACCCGTAGGGTCCAGAGGCGCAGCAGGGACATGACGTGCGGAGGCTCCAGCCGCAGCGGGAGCCGAAACATTTATGGCAGCTCTGCAGCGCGAGCCCCCGTATCAAGCGCTCGCCCCGCCCCGCCCTTTATCTATGACGCCTTTATTTCCACAGCAGCCTTTATTTAGCTCTGGTCGCCGCTGAGCGGTGCCTGCTGGGCTATAAAGAATGACGTCCTTTCTCCCAGCCAGACATACGAGGGTTTCCTGGCCTGCCACTTTTCTCTAAAAGGAAATCTGCCCCCTCCCTTAACTCACCAAGCTGCGCCCCTGGGGCTGGTCAGCAAAGCAGAATGTCCACTCTTGGAGGGCACGGGAGGCTGGACCCCGCTCCGCCCCAGTCCTACCTGGCAGGACCTCTCAAGTTAATCCCAGTGGGTTCCCTCCCGTCCTGGCCAGAGGGGGGCACTCTTCCATCTCTGCTGCTCTAGTCCTAAACAGACAAAGTGCCCTTCCCTGTGGCACTGCTGGGCTGAAGTCTTGAAAAAGGACTGCTCTAGAGCTCTGGAAACGAACCAGTCACAGGCCCAGTGTGCCGTCCTGCCCTCGAGGCAATCTGGCTGCACCCCGGGGGGACCTCTGTGACCCTTCTGCATCTGGCTCCTTCTGGCCCTGCCACAGAGACTGTCTCATCCCGGGACCAAGGACGATCCTTGGCGCTGAGGAATGAAGACAAGCGAGACTGCGCAAGTGGTCCTGCACCAGGTTCTGGGCCGTGCATGTCGCACGTGTCATTTTATAATTGTGAGAAGTTTCTGAGGTAGGTGTGAATGTCCTAACTTTACGGGTGAGCACGTTGAGGTGAGCCGCTTGCCCAGGATCACGCAATAGGAAATAGCGGAGCTGGGGTTCTCACTCGGGCTGTCTTCCTTTTCACATATTGGCTTGAACACCTGCTATGTGCCAGGCACTGTGCTGGGTGCTGGGCATAGGATGGTGAACAACAACAGAGTCCCCACCCCTCCTGGACTTATAGGATTGTGGGGGGAGGGACACACAGCAGTAATCATGCTGTATAAATGTAAAATGACAAACTGAAATAACAGAAGTGTGTGGGTCTCTGATGGTGTGTAACAGAGGAAGCTGACCTAGCTGGGCACTCAGAAGAGCAGCCTGGGGAAAGGTTACCTGGGCACGATGCTAAAATGTGCAGTGTCCAGGTGGGAGATATTGGCCCCTGAGGCCGGGGAGGGGCCCTGGCCAGAGAGGAGGAGTGCGGCAGAGAGGAGCAACGGCAGGACTTGGACACGGATCAGGTGGGGAGGCGGACAGAGAGGTGGAGATGGAGGGAGCAGGCCACATTCCCAGGTTCCTGGCTTGCCCAGCTGGGGGGATGGTGGAGCCTGTTCCTGGGACGGTAAAACCCTGGAGGAGGACAGGTGTGGGGAGGGGCATGAATCCAGTCTCGGACTGAGGACTGTCCCACAGCAGACGTCATCATGTTGTCGAGGGGGCGCTGGGGCTGAGAGTTTCGAGGGGTAGTCACGCCTGCTCCTCGTCACTGATGCGGGGGGTGTGGACGGCGACATCACGGAGGGAGGCCAGGGAGAGGAGGGCTGGACCCGCGGGCTCTGCCCTTACTGGCCACGCAGCAGAGAATGGGCTGCTTGGCCAGAGGTAGGAGGAAGATGAGGCTGTGGCATCGTGCAAGTCCACAGGAAGGGAGTGTTTCCAAAGCAGGAGCAGCCAGCAGAGGACAGGGTGTCCCCAAGAGGACAATGACTGTGAAGACCCGAAAGTACCCAACAGACGTGATGTGGAATCTCAGAGGTCTGTTGGTGCATCAGGTTGGCGAGTGAACAGGAGCAGCGCGCAGGGACAGTGAGTGTGGAAGACTCTTTTTCAAGAAGTTTGGTGGGGAGGAGGAGGAGGAGGAGAAGGAAGGCGGGCAGCTGCAGAGATGTGGGGTCGAGGGAGGATTTTTCAGAGAGAGACTCGAACATGATCCCATGGTTAGGGGAAGGGGCCTGTTGGGAGTCAGAGCGGATGCCACGGGCACCACCCAGAATCCCTCCTCCAGGACTGAACGTGAACTGTCCCAGCTGCAGGGGGGTGAGAGGCTGACGGCTCTCCCCCGAGCCTCTCTCCAGGACACGCCACTAGCTGAAGAGAGCCCTGTGGCCCAAATCAGTGCCCTCCCTGCCCCAGCCCTAGAAGGCAGTGGCTTGACTCCTGGCCACAATGTGGCATGACGCTGAGGCTGTCCCAGCTCCAGAGCTTCCCGTGGGGTGGCTGAGGCCTTACATGGGCCTGCATCACAGCTCAACTGTCCCTCAACCCTGTCCTGCCTCCCCCAGCACAGGTGTCGGTCCTGAGAGCATGCTGAGTGAGCTTCCTGCTCGCTGATCTCCGTCTCCCGGGGCCCTCAACCCCAGACAGCAGTTCAGTGAGAAAGAGAGAGCAGCGGTCAGTGATCGTGGATATTTCCCAAAAGACAGAGATCAGCTGTGCCCTAGAGAAATGTCTGCTCTGAGCTTCCAGGGGAGAGGAGGCCAGGGAGGATGGGGTGAGGGAGGGCTGAGCTGGATGATGGGACAGGTGTTTCCATTTTCCTGGGAGGTGGAGGCAGGCGCTCTGTTGAGAGGGTGGGAAGGTCAGGAGAGACAGGGGTTTGAGGAGAATGAAGACCCGAGATGGCTGTTGCAGAAAGTGAGCGAGGACAGAAACCCCCACGCACTGCTGGCAGGTGTAAATCGTACCGCTGAAAACAATCCGATGGTTCCTCAACAGGTTAAACTCAGAGTTACCTTATCATCCAGCAATTCCACCCCTAGGTATGCACCCGAAAGAACTGAAACGTGAGTCATGGGCTGAATACTTGTGTCCCCCACCTCAATTTATATGTTGAAGCCCTAACCTCCAGGGTGATGGTATTTGGAGGTGAGACCTTTGGAAAGTAGTTAGGTTTAGATGAGGCCATAAAAATGAGACTAGTGAGTGTCCTCGTAGGAAAAGGAAGAAACCAGAGCTCAAGCTCTCTCTGCCACATGAGGACACAGTCAGAAGGCGGCCGTCTGCAAACCAGGAAGAGGGTCCTCATCAGAACCCGACCATGCTGGCACCTTGATCTCGAACTTCCAGCCTCCAAAACTGTGAGTAACAAATCTGTTGTTTAAGCCACTCAGTCTCAGTATTTTGCTATGGCAGGCCGAGCTAAGAAAGTATGTCCACGTAAAAACTTGTACACAAATGTTCACAGCAACATTATTCATAATAGCCAAATAGTGGAAACAACTCAAATGTCCATCATTTGATGAGTGGGTAAACAAAACGTGGTATGTCCACAGGATGGGATGCGATTTGGCAACAAAACCAATGAGGTAGCAGTACTGGCTGCGAAGTGGGTGAGCCTTGCAAACGTTCTGCCCGCTCAGCCTGGCGGGGAGAGGTCGACACGGAGGCACAGTTGTGTCCAGCGAGCTAAGTGCGATGAGACAGTGGCACACGTGGGAGAGCTGAGGCTTCAAGGCGGAGGGGGAACGAGACAGGGGAAAGTGGGGAGAGGCGGGGGGACCGTCGACTCAAAGGCACTGAGGCAAAAAGCAGCCTGCAGTGTGCTGGGAGTGACAGGCACGGGCACAGCTGGCACGCGGAGGTTGGGGACGTGGTGTGGTCAGACAGTTGCTGGGTGGAGGATGGAATGGGGCGAGGAGCCCTTTCAGAGGCTGCTGTGCTCACCCAGATGAGAGGGGCCAAGGGAGGGTGGAAGAGGCAGATCTGGAACATATTTAGAAGGGAGAAGACAGGGACTTGGGGACTGGAGGTGCCATGCTCAGAAATAGGGAAAAGAGCTGGTTTGGGAGTTTCATTGCAGGCAGGTTGCACTTGGGGTTTCTGGCAGCCATCCACGGGGAGGTGTCCTGCAAGCAGGTGGACTTTGCACATGGGACTCGGGGGAGAGAGGTCTGGGTTGGGGATAGAGATTTGGGTGACACATGCGCAGGCGTGGTGGCTGAGTCCCCACAGTGGAAGGCATGAGGGCCCTCAGGGAGGCCACAACCTGGGGCATCGCCATTTACAGGGTGGGCAGAAGAGGGGGAGCTGAGGAAGGGAGGGGTGGGGTGAGGGAGAGGACCCGTGTTGCCTGGGGCAAAGGAGCAGTGTGTCTCAAGGAGGACAGCAGGCAGTTCATGTGTCCACCGGACTTAGCAATCGGGTGGGCACCATGGCCTTTTCAAGAGTAGCTGCAGGGACATACTCCAGGCTGCAGGAGGACCTAGGGGCTCCTGCTAGGGGGCTGTAGGCTTGGGGACAGGCCCCTGTGCCTGCTTATCAGCTGTGCCGCTGTCACTCCTTTTTATGTCCCTTCCTCAACCAGATAGAGCCTCAAGAGGGCTGCTACTGTTTCTGTATGTCTTTGTGTCTCCAGACAAAATCCAATTCATTCAAGACATCTTGGAAGTGCACCTATAGTGCGCACCACACGCTGTGCTCAGTGTTGAGGACATCTGCTGCGCCTCAGACTTCGGTGGGGTACACAGTAGGTCCTCAGACTGGGCAAACAAAGCTCTGGGCCAGGCCCTGCCAGGAACCTGCCAGTGACCTCAGGTGAATTATGATGTCTCTCTAGCAGTTTTTCATTGGCAATGGGTGATTTCTGAAGCTGGTCCTTGTGACAAAATGTGACGATTCTAGGACTTCTCTGCCTGCTGCTACATTATTTGTCCATGAGGCCTTGGCAGAGTCAGAAGCCTGGGGTGGGGGTGGGGATCAGACATTTCCCAAGACCTCTCTGCCTTAGGATCCTCCAGCTTGTTGTCCTGGTGACCCAAAGCTCTTGGCCAAATGTCCCACATGCTCTGTCCCCTGCCAGCTCTCTGGCCTCAGCTGGTGCCCATGCCCACTGGCTTGCTGGGCTCCAGCCATGATGGTCTTCTCTCAGACCTTGTTCTCCCCACAAGCCTTCCTGCCCCAGAGCCTTCACACATGCTGTTGCCTCTGACTAGACACCCTTCCCTTAACCCCTCCTCTGGTTGACTCTTTGTTCTTTGCTGCTTCACTTAAATGCGGCTTCTGCAGAG